CTCCGGCTCTCCCCCGTGTCCCCCACGGGGCCCGTGGCCTGCCAGCACAGCGAGGCTCTCCCTGGGGCTCTGCCGTGGGCTGCTGGCTCCCTGTGGCTCCCGGCGGTTGTGCCAGCCTGTTTCCTTGCCACGGCCAGTGTCTGACAGATCCAGCGGCACATCTGTACCATCGTCCCTTGCCGCCTTCGCCTTTTCTTGGAGCTTGGAGCTGTTTTGGCTCAGCCAAAGCTCCTTCTCTTCCTTCCCATCTGCAGCATCCTCCAGGAAGGACCTTTCCTCCTTACATCCTGGCACGATGCTCGGCCACAGGGAGAGGGGCCGCTCCTCAGGCGTGAGCTTTGGGTCTCCATCTGCCCGCTGGCCTGGCTGGCATTGCTGCATGAGGAAATGCTGCAGCTGCTCCCTGTGCTTGAGAAGGTGCAGCTTCTCCTCCAGGTGCTGATCCCTCACATACACCATGGCAGCAGGGAGCTTCAGCAACGCTGCACGATCTTCCCAGCCATCACGCGACCGCGTCCTGCCATCGGCATCTTTGGCCCTGAGCAAATGGCTGGGGAAGCTGCTGCCGTCCCGATCGACCGAGACACGGTTGCTTGCCAGCCCCAGCTGATGCAGGGAAAGGTGCTTGTGGAGGAGGCAGAGCTGCTCTCTCCGGGTGGTCAGTTTTAGGTTTTCATAGGATGGAGCAACCTTGGGAGAGTCCAGTTTGCTTGCTGTTAAATAACTAAAAGAAGCACACAAAAAAAATCATGTTCATTAGAGAATTTTCATGTGATTTCCCAGCTCCTGCAAGTGATAGGTGCGGCCTCTCCTGCTCTTTCTGTGCCCTATTGCAGCTCTTGGCCTATGCATCACGTTTGTCCTTGGGTGCTGTGCTGGGGAGGAGGGTCCTGGTGGCTGTGGGGGTCAGGCAGCTGGCAGCGGGTCTCTGCACTGTGCACACCGAGGGAAGCCATCACCATCCCACCATCCTACAGTGCTCTCCTGGCCCTGGACCACGGCAGCTCCAGGCAGGGGCTTGAGCGAGTTGGGGGATGCAGTGACCACTCAGGTCAGCACTGCTGCTGAGAAGTCACTTATCACACCATGCCTTGCAGCCAGAAGCATCTTTACCCCCCATGGGGCTTTCTTAATGCCTTGGTGGGCCTGAAAACCTCCAGGACAGAGGAAGAGCTCACCCTCCCCTAACCTCCCTCAATGGGAGATTTTCACAGCCACGCTGAGGAGGTTGGTACAGTGCATGAACCTGCCCTGCAAACTGAGCCCTGGCTATTGCTGGTTATTTGGCAACTTCTGTGTGTGCGAGCTTTTCCCGGGAATGCTCGGCAGATCTACTCCCACTCTGGGAAACTCGCTGTCTCTACAGGTGAACTCACTGGCTTTGCTGAGCCCTCTGCACTGCTGAAATCAATGGAGAGGATAAGGCTGGGGAAGTGCTGAGCCCTGCAGAAAAGCCCATTAGAATAGATAAGGAGGAGCAGGGATTGCTGCCTGCCATGGGGCAAGTCCTTCTCCTCCGGCTGGAGGTGAGGGCACCTGGATCACTTTATGGATCTGTCTGACGAAGCTGGAGGCTGATCTGGTCAGGCTGGATTCCAGTCATTTTTTGCTGGTGTAAACTGGGAGACCCCCCCCCTCCCCAAAGCTGTGGGAGAAGACTGGAGAAGAAGGTGAGCAGATACAGCGAATACCGGCCATCTCATCGCAGTCTGCCCGATGGGACAGCTGCAACGGGCCATGGATCAGGCCCACGCCACGACCCACGAGCAGGTAACTCACGACTCAAGGCTGGGGCTGTGCTCACGCTCCGGAGGGAGAGGAGTCTTCCTTGCCGGTGGGGACCCTGCTGACCCCGAAGGACTTTTTTCCAGGAGGCAGGGTCTGGAGCCAGGTCTCACCAGGGCAATGGTTCCATGCAACTGGTTGGCGATCCTCTGGGATGCCTGCGGCAGAGGAGAGAGAGTCCGGGTGAGCCGTTCTGCTGTGCACCCCGGGCAGTGCGTGGCTGCGGGGAGCTCCGCCGAGCAGGGACGCAGCTCTTCACCGGCGTGAACAAGACAGACCGCTCCGAAGTGCTCTGTTTGATGCAGTTCTGGTCAACAGCTCAACCGACTTTTATTGGTTTTCTCAGGAAGTTTCCCCCTCACGTTTTCTAGCAGGATCTACGGTACTCTTTATTTTCTGGCTGCACTGATTCGTAGCCCAGGAGGTCTTGTGCCTCCTCTCCAGTCAAGCCATGCTTCAGTGGCTTAACCCAGATAAGACCCTGCAATTTCCCTGACCCCTAGTCAGGCCACTAGACTTTCTTCATGCGAGCTCCTGGCGTGCACTGATTTGATGGGTGTATTTCCAGTGGAGTACCGGGCTGTGAGGCCAGGACATCATCATCTCCCATCTGCTGTCATGAAAGGCTACCCACATGTTCTGACTTGACTTTCCCCTGCCCACCTGGAGATGTCACCAACCCTTCCTGCGATCCCTATTAATTATCCCCACAGTCTGCCTGCAGCCTTACCAAAACCCCTTTTCACCTGCTCTTTCAAGTTTTCTGTGGAGTTCAGGTAAGCAAAGCCTGTGCCAAAACAGAAGAATCTAAGTGGGTGTGTATGTGGGCTTGAGTTCCCACGACCAGGAACAGGGCTCCAGGTCCTGCAGTCTCATCTCCCAGTGCCCGGTATCACCATATCACTCAGCATCCCTCGGCTGACACATACTCTCTGTGTTTTAAAGGCATGGCAGGTTTGCATCAATGCACAAAATGGCAACCACAGAATGCCAGGCCCTCTGAAAATACCAATACTCATTATGCTGCAGATGGAGAGACATCTGTGATGCTGTTGGGCAGGGCTGCTGTGGTGTCTTTGTTCTCAGTACCCACAACTCCCACAGTTTACATATTTTCCAGGCTTTTCCAACACTCACAATGCTCCAGCTTCTTGCTCGCCCAGATAATGGAGAGCTGACTCTATAACTCAGGAGAAGCCACTGAAATGTGGCTCAGCACAATCTCCCCAGGTCCCTCCCTCCTCCGAGCTGTCTCCAGCGAGACATCTAAGAGAGGAACCAGAGCGATGGGCAGAGGACTCAAGGATGCTAGATGTGTTGTCACAGAGGATAAACATCAGAGCAAACAAAGATGTGCACGCTCACAGCAGGGACAGGAGCTTGTGCCAAACTCCAAATGCTTTGCTGCAGTGAGTGGCAATTTCTGTAGAGAGGACGCATCTGGCGTTTGGTAGGTGCCCTCCTTGGCTCTGGCAATGGCAAACTGCCCAAGTCTGGCTAATTGTTCCACCCCCTAACTGCCTCCCTATCCCGGTCTACCTCTCTTGATCCAGTTCAGATGACCAAAGGGATGGGGAGAAGGCCTGAGGACATCAGGCTACCTCCGGCAACTCACCATTTCTGCGAGGCTGACCTCTTGGAGGAGAGTGCCTGGGGAAGTCCTGCTGCTTGGAGAGCTTCTCTGTCCTGCAGGCTTTTCTGCAAAAAAGACAGAACCAGCCACCGTGGTGGTCCCGCAGAGCTGGTGCAGGCTGCCCTGCCCTGCAGCGTGTTGGAGTCTCGCAGCCTCCCATGGATGTCCCTGGCTGGCACCAATCACCTTCTTTTGAAGATTTCGAGGCAAAATTTCTGCCTAGCTCAAGCCAGCACCTAGTTGAACGTGCCCTCCATTGCACGTGTGAGTGGCAGCAAGGTGATGACATGGTCTCTGCACGAAATGGGTGGCGAGCTGACACCTCCACAGCACTCATCTGACAGTGAGGGCACCCAAGCACTCTTTTGCTCTGATGCAGAGCAGTGTGTTTCTCCCTTGACATGCATTTCCCCCCCTCAGCAGCTATTCTGCCCGTGGCAATGTCCATCTGAGCTGCCAACTGCTTGGTCTTTGCTCTACAGACCCTTTCCCAGAGCAGCTTTGTACCACGGCTCAGTCACTCTTCCCATCCCCAGGTCCCTCAAGGGTGGGGGGAGCCAGCAGCACCCACCTTCTCCCAGCTCAAGCCCCGGCACGTCACGGTGGGCTGCTTCTGCTTCCCTGTGAGTTGCTTTCTCGGTGCCGGTGTTCCTGCTCGCTGGGGACAGTGCAGCCAAGGGGGAGCTGGGGGTGGAGCTGCTCTCTCTGGAGGTGACTCCTGGGTGCTTTGTCCCGTCCCTGTTGAAAGAAGAAGGATATGAATGAATGAGAAGGGGCAGGAGAAGGAAGGTTTGAGAGCCACTGTACTGGGAGCTCTGAGTTATACAGCCCAATA